GTGTAACACGTATGTCCGTGCATGTATCATACGATTGAATGTGCCCGTTACACAATGTAATGGGTGTAATGAAATTTCGCTAACGGTCACTCGAACAAAAAATTAGATCAAATTACAATATTATAATAATAATAATAATAATAATAATAAATTCCAACGGGCTGATCCGAGATTGGTGGTTATTATGGTTACTTGTTAGCAAAAATATTGTTCCTACCACAAAAACGTTACTTGTTAATGGTCCTGGATTGGATTGGGTTGAGTTGGATTTTTGCCTCGATTAGTTTGGGCTTTAGTTTTGGGCTCCAATATGGCTGTTCTTTTTCTTGTGTGGGCTGTTTGGCTATGTTTTTATAGTTTTTATTTTTTATTTTTCCTCAGGTATGCCCCTAATATATATATATATTGTAGAGTATAGAATTTTGATGAGAAGTAAATGCGATGCATACCATTGCACCTAGAAGATGAAGAACAAAAATGAAGATGGGGAAAAGGTCTAGGGATTTATAGAATATTATTGCATTCATGTATTGATGAGACCAATTCCAAGTGTTGTCTAAAATAATTATTTGTGAGACCACTTCTATTGACTTGTTAGCTTTGGATTTTGTCAAAATCAACCCTCTCCAGTCTCCCCATCCAACTTGGATACTAGATTCAGAGCCTTAAGACATATATAAGCTTGTCATTGACAACTAATCTACCGCAACCCACACTTGTTCACCGTGCATTTTTCATACATAACGATCAATTTCACATCTCGATCTTCTAAGGGGACAAAAATTCGTAAGAACAACTTATAATCATTGCAATATGTATGTATATATATATATATATATATATATATATATATATATATAAAATTAAATTATCGCATAGCTACTTGTCCAACCCATATAAAGAATTGCGATCACAAATATTAATATATTATTGGATGAGAAAATAACGAGACAAAAGTAAAATATGTAACGTGAACTTTATGGCAGATGTTATAGTAAGTATAATTGAACCTATTATAACTACTATAATTGAACCTATTATAACTATTTTGCTCACGTCCAATTATGTGCAAAAATGAACATATGAAATCCATGTCACTTTCTCATAAGCTACTAAGAAAGAAAATGAAATGAAACTTAACTCGAAATATATATATATATATTCTTAAATGAACTCGGAATATTTCTAAACAATACCTTGAATTAATGCAGCTGCTGTGAAGCTTCCAGGGTCGCATGTGATGTACCATGCCCTTCCAAAGAGGTCATTCATTACAAAGAAGAAAAAACAATAATTCTACTCATTGCCCTTTGGCCTATGATATATATATATATATATATATATATATATATATATAAACACACACAGATATATATAACAACTCACTGATTGGAGTATGGTGTATACCCATCACCAAATCCAATCATAAATTTATTACAACATCATTTTCATATGCCTGAGTTCCAATACAATTGCAACCACCTGTATCTATACTCCTTAATTAGTTAATTGTGGACATGTCACATTCCACCTTCACACTTCCACTACATCTTTTCACACACACACACACACACACAGAGAGAAACAGATAGAGGGTGAGGGAGGGGGGACAAGTGTATCCTTTTGATTGGATGAGTGAGAGAACTTTAATTTTTGTCAGATGTCATGATAAAAAGTTAATAGTAGATTATCTGATGGGATTGTATTAATTAATCACGTGAGACGTGGGCATCTTGAAAAGCTAAGACACATTATCTGTTTGACCGTACATGTGTCCTCAATCAACGGGTGTTGCGTCAGCTGTTGAATGGGATGGGATTGCACCTGTGTCTTGTTACATTCCCAGACGATTACTCAACCCAAAAATTATTCTCTAGCTGCCCAGTTCTTCAAGAGTTGGCTATGTTGGACTGTGAATGGATGAATTTGAAGAGTATCACAGTTTCTATTCCCACGCTTACGAGCTTGACAATAGATGATTTGCCCTACTTTGGGTCATCAGATGAACTAAATGGTTGTGAGATCAAGATTGATGCGACCAATCTCAAATTTCTGAAGTACAGTGGTCACCTATTGAATGAAATTCTTGTATATAATCCATCTTCATTGGTCAGTGCCGATATTCACATACCAATTTTGTGTAGAGAACAAGAGGAAAGCTCGATCAGTTCTTTATATGCATTGACCTGCTCTTTAGAAGAGCCGGCTGGTCGGCCATTTTGATTTTTTACTTGATGAGGAAAAAAAACCTTCCGAACTATTTGACTTTGTATCATTTCTTCTGTAAGTAGGATATTCACCTCTCAAGAGGATTTTCTCTCTCTAGATATATATATATGTATATAAAATTAAATTATCGCATAGCTACTTGTCCAACCCATATAAAGAATTGCGATCACAAATATTAATATATTATTGGATGAGAAAATAACGAGACAAAAGTAAAATATGTAACGTGAACTTTATGGCAGATGTTATAGTAAGTATAATTGAACCTATTATAACTACTATAATTGAACCTATTATAACTATTTTGCTCACGTCCAATTATGTGCAAAAATGAACATATGAAATCCATGTCACTTTCTCATAAGCTACTAAGAAAGAAAATGAAATGAAACTTAACTCGAAATATATATATATATATATTCTTAAATGAACTCGGAATATTTCTAAACAATACCTTGAATTAATGCAGCTGCTGTGAAGCTTCCAGGGTCGCATGTGATGTACCATGCCCTTCCAAAGAGGTCATTCATTACAAAGAAGAAAAAACAATAATTCTACTCATTGCCCTTTGGCCTATGATATATATATATATATATATATATATATATATATATATATATAAACACACACAGATATATATAACAACTCACTGATTGGAGTATGGTGTATACCCATCACCAAATCCAATCATAAATTTATTACAACATCATTTTCATATGCCTGAGTTCCAATACAATTGCAACCACCTGTATCTATACTCCTTAATTAGTTAATTGTGGACATGTCACATTCCACCTTCACACTTCCACTACATCTTTTCACACACACAAACACACACACACACAGAAACAGATAGAGGGTGAGGGAGGGGGGACAAGTGTATCCTTTTGATTGGATGAGTGAGAGAACTTTAATTTTTGTCAGATGTCATGATAAAAAGTTAATAGTAGATTATCTGATGGGATTGTATTAATTAATCACGTGAGACGTGGGCATCTTGAAAAGCTAAGAAACCATTATCTGTTTGACCGTACATGTGTCCTCAATCAACGGGTGTTGCGTCAGCTGTTGAATGGGATGGGATTTACCGGGACGAATCATCTTTTGCCACGCGTTGTTATCAACAGAGTATTGATATGACGTGTTTGTACTGTGTGATTGGTACACACACTTACCTAATTGTGGTGGGCTCCTTCGATTTTCCAAAATCTTTTGGCCGACACGAAAAAGATGAGAACTGAAAGGCACTTTTTGCAAAAGTGGTCCTTCCCAATTAACTTAATATGTCAACAGTCCTTTAATTTTTGTATTTCTATAGTTCACCCACTTAGTAGCTATAACTGGGAATGATAAATTACGACACCATACAAGTTAAAAATGTTTGAGTTTAGCATAAACGGGTTTGAGTCATAAAAAAATCGATACGATTAACTCGTTTACTTAACCGTATCGAGTTAGGGTTGAGAAATACAACCCGTATAACCCGTTTATAACTCATTTAAGTCAACATGTTATAATCATAAATATGACTTATATAATATGTTACATGTTTAAACCCAATTATTATGGATAATTAAATCATTTCAACCTAAACCTTGTATGATTAAATATTAAATATAACAAATTTTTTCTATTATTTAGTATTTGATTAAATATGAAATGTTTCGTTTTGAAAAACAGGTTATTAAAGGGGTTAACACACTTACCTATTTAATAAACAGGTTGATTAGTGTTGAGAGTTCTTGACACAATTATTAAATGGGTTAAGTTTAGTTTTGGGTTTGGGTTTACTTATTTAATATAATACCCTTACATTGACATGATTAGAAATTGGAAACAGATATTCGAAAGAAACGATTGCTTAAAGTCATAGCAAACCCTGTAGCTACTTGTACTAAAAAACAAGTAAGCGAAATTCCTCCTAAACAATAAAATATGTTTACATTGGGGCGATAATCTCATTTCTTTCGACGGAGAGGGGGTCCACCTTCTTATATTTCTAGATCTAGGATCCGACTTGTGTCATAGATACTAATAAGAACTGAACCATTATGGCAATGAAAAGTTTGATTCAGAGGGAGAAGAAGAGGCAAAAATTGAAACAGAAATATCATTTGATTCGTCGATCCTCAAAAAAAGAAATAAGCAAAGTTTCGTCGTTGAGTGACAAATGGGAAATTCATGAAAAGTTACAATCCCCCCCACAGAATAGTGCACCTAGACACAAGCGGTGGAACATGTGATTTAATTCAATGCAAAACGAAGAACCTTACTAGGGCTTGACATGTCGCAAATCCTCTTGAAAGAGAGGCGTGCCTTCGGGAACGCGGACACAGGTGGTGCATGGCTGTCGTCAGCTCGTGCCATAAGGTGTTGAGTTAAGTCTCGCAACGAGTACAACCCTCGTGTTTAGTTGCGCGCCATCATTGAGTTTAAAACCCTGACACGATTATGATCCACGAATACGAATTGCCACCCCTAACTATAATCTTTTGCAAACACTCCCCTTGCTAATTTATTTCTCATTCAACCCCTAAATTAAGTAGCTTTATTCTTTATTTTATTTTCCCTTCCTATCCTAATACTAGTATCAAAATGGGGAAGGGTATAAATGAAAAGAATTCTAATTAGATGGGTTAGTAATAAGAAACTTATAAAAAAATAAGTGCTCAATTAGATTTAACAAAACTAAAAGAATAATTAAAAACTCACAAGCTACTTTCATTGTCTCAATATATGCACATCAACATCTATATGTTTTAGAGCATCACTTAATTGAACTCTCCTAATTACTACTACAAGCATGTGTGGCGCATAGTGCTTCACCCCCTAATCATAAACCATTTTACTGCACTTGTTGAAACTATATGCTTCTATCCTTTACTCTTTCTTCTTCTTCTTCTTCTTCTTCTTCTAAAGCCCAATCATGTTTAATGATCAAAGGGCTATCACAAGTAGAGAAGATCATGAACGTGATCATGTTGATGTACACATCAGAGACATCCATGCACTGACCCCACCTCAACCGGTCAATATTAGTACCGGTCGTCAAAGGGAGAGTTGGGAGAGATCATCTTCCTTGTCCATGGGTAGTGAAGGCAGCGAGAATTTTACAAGCATGAGTAGAGAATTCAATGCCCTTGTCGTTGCAGGATCAAACAATATAGGTAGCAACAACATCAACAACAATAACGACGACGTCTATGAGGGCACCGGCAACTTGGCTATGATTGGAGAGGATGAATTAATGGTGGAGGAAACCAATCCGTTGGCAATTGTACGGGATAATAACCCTTTGGACCCTGTAGGGTCACCTAGACGTGCCACTACTACTACTACTACTGCAGGTGGCTTTTCCTCCATGGTCGGTGGTGGATATGGGACGGAGGTGTCGGCGCATAGAGTGAAGAAAGAGGAGGTGGAGTCGAAGATATCAGCTTGGCAGACGGCGAAGATTGCTAAGATTAACAACCGGTTCAAGCGTGAGGACGCCATAATCAATGGTTGGGAGAGTGAGCAGGTTCAAAAGTCCACTTCTTGGATGAAGAAAGTTGAGGTACCTACGTATATATCATATGAATTGATATCAATTTCAACCCCATGCACACACGCACACACACACACACGCATATATATATATATATATATATATATATATGTATACTTGTTACAAATTTTCAACTTACCTCAGAAATTGGTTTAGATATCTTGCTCAAGTTGGGTAGTATAGTATAATACTAGTAGAGTGATCAAAATTAGCATTTATTGAACCTTTATGACTCCCTTCCCAAACAGGGCCTCAACACAATCGATAATGATGCAACTCAACTGAGTATTGCTTTTCTGAATAACTAATTTAACATTTTTTTGAAAGTACTTGCAAGTCTCTATTTTACCTACCGAGTGCCTGAAATGACCAAAATGCCCATTGCACCACATACCCAAAAATAACAAGAATGGAAATGTATATAATATATGGCCGGGGATGAAATTAAAATAATTAAGGACAAAGCATAGTTTAATTAGTAATTCAAAATTTCTATATTAAATTTGTTATTGATTATGTTGAATAGATGTGATTGGTATGTTAATGAATGAAAAGAATAAAAAATTAAGATGGAGAATTTTAATTGTGCATGGTATGTGTAGAGGAAGCTGGAGGAGAAAAGAGCAAGAGCCATGGAAAAGATGCAGAATGAGGTAGCAAAAGCACACAGGAAAGCAGAGGAAAGAAGGGCATCAGCAGAGGCCAAGAGGGGAACAAAAGTGGCTAGGGTTCTTGAAATTTCCAACTTGATGAGAGCTGTTGGAAGACCTCCTGTCAAGAGATCCTTTTTTTAATTCAATGTCCTACCTCCACCTACCCCATATATATATATATATACCCTATATTTTCAAAAACATTAATTTCAGTACAATTTGATATATATATTTGGGCATATACACAGCATGCAGCCCACAATATATATTATAGGCCGGTCCCTTCACCTTTTGAACAGTAGGGTACCCTCGCTTTTATATGATCAGTTGAGTGCTTTTAAGGTCGTGTGAGAATTTTTTAGAAGGTTTGTTTTGGTGATGGTTTTGGAACAATTCGATCTCTTCTTGCTTTGAATGTACAGCTTTTTGCTATTAGTTATGCTTGTCTAAGCTTAGTGAATTAAGATTTTCAATTTTTCTGCGCCCCTTGTACTTATGTAACATCATGTAAGAAGATCTTATGATAAATATAAAGAATAATTTTACAGCAATTATCAGCCAGGGAAAATTGTTCGACAGCGTCGAAGCAATATCAATATAGCTAGTAACATGTATAAGATTGAATCAAATTTCACCTCAATATCATGCATTTTAAATTACCTTGATTTAATAATATTAAATCAATCATACTTGAGTCAGTATTAACAAGTTAATTGAATGACTACTCTCAAAATTTGAACTCATGAGATTATCATTTTTGATAGCCTCGAGTAGTTTGATCATTACTGTACCACGCGGGAATGCACAGTATCATCAACATTGTGAATTTCTGTGAAATACAAGGTATAATTTACATGTATACATAAGCTGCACAACTTTCTTTTCTTTCACCTTCTACCTAATACCTTTTTAATTAATTTAATCCTAACTCTCCTCGTTCAAAATTTCAATACCAATCCTCATGAGACCACAAGAGGGAAGGTATCGATCTTATAAGAGCAATTAATTCATGTTAGATTGGCCGATCAATGCATCCAATCATTGAGCAATTATATTATGTACAAAGCCTAAAAATTTTGGTCACTAACATATGATCAATGGGTAGCTTAATTCATTGTACAACAAGACTTCCATATAAATTAATGCTTTTTTGAAACTAAGCCTTGAAGATCCCAAAACATTAGAATGTAGCATTGATTTCAATTGTTACACAAATTGAGAATAAAACCCTGAAAAATAAAGGTTTCATTCTTATTAGTAGTAATTGTGTGACTATACAATGGCCTCCATGATATTACAATTTAATTATAAAATTAGGTTTAATTCAGTTAGACTTTCTATAATTTATCAAATTTTTAAAGAAGTTTTTATACATTTGTAAAAATTCAGTCAGATTCCTTCTTTTTTTTTTTTTTTTACACACTTTACTATTCGGTCAACTATCAAATCTGGTCAGCAACACTGTTTGCTAACATAATAAAAAAAGGTAAATAATGTATATATCACATTTAATTTGGATACGGAGTAGCACATAATTTGGAATAGCAATATGTTTGTAATCAAATAGGGTATATATATACACACACAAATTTTCCATCATAGTTCTTCCATAGATCACTTTGATTGCTGATTTCGATCTCCAAATTTCCCACTTTGATACGTTGTACGTGAAACGTGGGTTTTCGGCAATAAAATTAAGATTTCCCCACCAGAATCTCAGGCAGCGAGTATGATTGGAGCCTTATTGAACAGTACAGAGGTGAGTGCGAAGCCGGTGATGTGATGTTTCGTTGGGGAGCACGATTTCGGCGACGGAGGAGGAGTTGGTGGTGAAGACTGATTCGACGATTGTGAGTTCGTTTCAGAAGATTTGCTCCTAGTTCTTCCACCCCTATACCCTCTCTATTTTTCTATCTCCCTTTCTCTGCACAATTCTCTCTCTAGTGTGATGAAGTATGTGTTCTCAGCCAAAACAGAAAATAAATATTATGACGCGTCGTTCATGGAGGCGGGGCGGACAAATCAGAGAACAACAGTTGGAATGTGAGAATGGATTATCGGTGTGGCTATATTTACCGGCAAGGAACATTGTGGACGCCGACGAGAAGCAAGGACATAACTGCAAGTACTGAACGGCGGACAACAAAAAATCCGGCCGCACCGAGTAATGAACGGAACTGAAACACGATGGTGGGTGCGGCGCACGGCGAGACACAACGTTGTGGTGATTTGATGACTAGTTACAGCGAAGGGCGAGTGAAAACCGACAACTGGGTGCGCTCCGATACTGTATTGGAATTAGGTAAAAAACACTTGAGACTGGATGTTTGGCTCAAGAGATAGGTAACCTTTGGTGGGAGTTCGGTTAAGCTTATATGTGATAACAACAAAAAGGGTAAATTAGTCACGCCACTCATTTATTTGATTTTGTTAACGTTTGATAAGAAATCTGATTAAATTTTTACAAATGTGAAAAATCTCTTTAAAGTATTGACAAATTATCGGTGTAAATGGATTAAACCTTATAAAATTTGATGAAAGTGGGGTGCGGGTAAAATATTTATTGTTATTATTATTATTTTTAAAAAAGTTTTGCCTTTTTGCTCGCTTTTTTCTCAATAGTGGGATTCGGAATCAAAAAAAAATTATTATTAATAGTATATCCTGCTACTTCAATGCAAAAAGTACGAGTGTTAATGGCTAAATTAAAGATCGTGTTTCAGATATAATAAAGTGAAAGATTATAACAAGAAGAATCTTCTGAATATTTAAAGCTAGGCTGAATAACAATTTTAAATAACATTAAATTTTATATCAATTGATGTTCTCCCTCTCTTTCTCAAATGAAAGAACATAGATAGAAGAATAAATAAAAAGAAAAGTTAGAAGCACAATCAATCACTAACAGTGACTACCAATTCTGTGATAATGGCGAGTACGCGTTTAAACATCATCCAACCTATTCTTCTTAATTAACTTTATATTAAAACTTTAAACATATTGACTATATATATATATATATATATATATATATATTTTATAATTTTATTTTATTATTATTATTTTTAGGTAATACAAAGCAACATATATGTTTTTGTAGTCAGTGGGGGGGTTGATGTACCAATTCTTCCTTTTCCTTGGCTCATGGTGTGTTGGGAGACAGTCCGATATACGTGTCTTGGGCTAAGATGATGTTTGATATTTTAATTTGATACTCAATTGTGAATAAAAATTGAGTAATTATCTAATTAAATATATTTAATAACATTATTTTAATATATTTAAAAATAAATAAATTTTACTTAAAATAAAATAAATATATAATTAGTGATTGAGACATTTCACTTGTGATCGAACAATTCAAATTCCATGAAAAAATTTCTCAATTTACCATTAGCTATTACTATTTCATATTTTAGTTTTATCAAACATCACCAGATGTAATAACAGAATATTTTTTTAATTGACAAGTTCATGTCCACTGCAGGCACTTTGTGAAATCATTTTGCACCAAATCAAAGGTTAAATGTTGAAAGATCAAAATGGATCTGTCCCATTATCCACTTTTCTCTTACTCTAAAGTTTTAAAATTGAAGAAAGGTAGCATGATCTCCTTGACGTGATATGCTAGATTTGGGTTGAAATCATGCTGAAATAAAAATTAAAAAGCAAATTTAATTTATTTAAAATTGTATGTATTCGACTATTTTACTTTAGTAAGATATGAGGTCATCGTCATGGTAACATCATTCCTTACTCACATAAAAACATACTTACTTTCGAATGTTGTATTATGACCATGGTTCGTCGTATTAACTGATACGCGATATATCGGCCGGTTCATAACCTTTTTTCAAGAGTCCAATACCGTTACACACCTTTATGAATTAGCCGGTTCAACCGATTTACACTGATATTCATCAGAGTCCACCGATACTGTGATTTCGAACCATGATTATGACTCATAAATCACGAGGCATTATTAATGGGTCGGGCCATGCTGGAGTTTCGAGGCCTAGGGCTAATTCCATCTGGCATTGACGAGTTATTGGATTGGATTTTACTGGGCCAAAAAAAAAATTCAGAGGCCGAAGCCTGGTTAGCTGTCTGAGTGGTTTTCGGGTGGGCTGGTTTGGATTCTGACCATCAAAATTAGCCCAAATCGAGCTGATAAATAAAAGACTGGATGATTGATACGCTAAGTATGTAATTATAACGTGTATTACAATATCATAATGATATCGATGAAAATTTAAAAACGTATATTTAATTATAAAAAGTTGAAAGCAATGAGTACTTGAAAATTAATTTTTTTTTTCATTTTGCTTGTGGATTTGCCTCGAGTAGAAATGAACCAATTGATTTTTAATTTATATTATTTTTTGGGCTTAGATAAAATAATTTTTGTTTTTGTATATATATATATTTTTTAACAAAGCAAGAAGAGTTAGAAGTTAGATTAATAGTGAGTAAATCCACCAAAAGCAGTAACCCGTTAAACTATCAAGACTTCTTGATAAAATAAATGAACAATGCTGGAAATTGAATAGAGCATTTTTCAATTGTCAGTTACTTTGAACAACAATCACTGCCATCATTTTTTGTCTTTGTTTTTATTTTTTATTTTCAATTAATCAGGTAACCCACTGATACTTTCACTGCCTTCTAAAAGGAGGAGGTGAATAAAAAATAAAATAAATAAAAAGACAAAATAATCAAACCATAACATGGACTTAATCAGACCCTATTGGGCTAGGATTGCAGGCCTGATCGGACTTTGGGGCGTAGCCAAGTCCACTAGATTAACAATCCAAAGAGAGCTGGGTTTAACCAGATGGCGTTTGCCAGCCCAGTCAGGTTTTCGGGCTTTGTCCCTTTTTCAGTGTAAGAGGTTTTTGTTGTTGCGGAATTTAGATGGTGTCAAATGTACATGACTCTAATTTCGGATTCAAACACTGTTTTCGAAAATCATGGTCCATATATATTATTATAATTATAATTAATTTTGATTAAGTTAATGAAACTTATAAAAGTTTCATGGTAAATAGCAATAGTTTAAAAGATTATCATGGATTAACACCCAATTTTTTCATAATTAATATATTATGTGTATTCATATAATCGCAATAATAAAATGTCACATCTTTTTACTAAAGCAAACTTGCTTTACATTATTCTGAAATTTCTTCTTACTTTGCGTAAATCATGGTGTATGCTACAGTAACATTTAATGTGACATTTAAAAACATGTATCCAATTAATGTCACATTTAACGTGACATTTAATGCACATGTAATTATTCAAGAGCGCCTGCTACCTTTTTCCTTGCGTCGTCATTTCGGTTCAAAGTTGGAAAGTGTAGTAAGTGTGACGAAAAGTGACTTTTCTTGTCGGTGATTATTTTATGTGCAGTGTGAATTTCTTATGTTAATTATTTTAGTGTAATTACTACACTAGGTTTAAGTGAGTTCAATTTTGTTTAATTCTAGTACCAAAAATATTTATAAATCTAATGCATATTCAGTCTTAATGGAACTAAATCATATGATAAAAATATTTTTTAATGATCACGTAACTATAGGATATATAATTTCTTTTGAATTTAGTCAATATGCATGGCTTTAAAATGATTATATGTAAATAATCCTAAAATCAAGAGATTTCAATTCAAGAGGTAGAGTGCAACAAATAATAATAATAAAGAGAAGAAGTACAAAAATTTTAGGTAGTAGAAAAAGAAAAAAGAAAAAAAAAAATTGGAGAATGGCGTAACTTTGAAAAGAAAAAGAATATAAGAAAGCAGAGAAATTTTACTTTTTAAAGAAATTTAAAGAGAGAGAGCAAAATAAAGAAAGTTTTAATAACTAAAATCGTTTTAGAGGAGATTCTATATAAATTTCATATATATATATATTAAAAAATTAACCATATATAATGTAGCGGAAAGGGCCAGACCGATGGGCGATGTGTCCCCCTCTCGGCGTACATTGCTCGCCGCCCCTGATTATATGTATCCCAAAGGAGTACTTAAAACAAAATAGGATTGCCATTGTAATTTTCAAATCAGCAACAGAGTTCTATTATAACTTACCCCAAAACATACTTAATGGTGAAAAAACACACACTAATAATCAAGGTAAAAAAAATTCATAAAAAAGTAATGCTATTATGAGATATTCTTAAAATGGGCACATTTTAGAGAAAAAAAAATAATACAGTAACAATAATAATGCGCAAATTATATCGTAATATAACCAATATTAAAAGTTCTCTGTAAAAAAAATCAATTCAAAATATCACAAAATAAAATTTTTATGAGATAGGCTTACACCATCCGTTCTTACACTGTTGGTCAAAGAGAAATACCATGACACTCCTTAAGTTTTGTAATTCATTTAATTTTTGGAAGTATACGAAGAAAGGGAAGAAGAAAAAAGAAAGGAAATATAAAAGTTTGATTGATCGGTGAGGGTGTGTTCGGTTGTGGAATAGGAGCCTTGGAATTTAAGAAAAACAACTGAAAAATTTGAATCAATTTTTTTTTTTTAAATTTCACAAATTCCAATTTCAATGGTCTAATTTCATACAGCCGAACATACCCTAAATAAATTTTGATACGAAAATTTTACTGTATAATTCTCATACAATTCAATTTTCTCTTTAACAATTAGATATGCGATTCAATATTTATAAGTGATCACAAAAAAATAAAAAAATAAAAAAATATAAAAATAAAGGTGCTCATTACACTTTTAATAAAATATAATCGTATTGTAAATTAGACTTCTCAGATTACCCAATTTTTTTTCAGAATGGAGGCAGTACTTTGAATTCCAATTGTATCTGTCAGTTTCAAATTTTTTGTTAAAAAAAAAAAAGTCTGGGCTACTTTCATGCTAACCGTACTTGTCTTAGCTATTATTATTTTATATGTGTGTGTGTATATATATATTTATGGATTTGAGAATTTTTTGGTAAGCCATGATGAAACCCTAAATTGAATTTGAAGGCTTCCAAAGGTGACCCTTATTACGTCCAAAAAGGAAAGTGGGCTTTCGTTGGAAGGTCCCCGTAAGAAGCTTCACAAATCACAAGCACCAATCAAAAATAAAAAATTACTAGAATACATGAAAAATACAAAGTTGGTCTTCTGGCTTTGTTGAATTGAATGCGACCAAAAAGCAATTCACCTTCCCCCCTTCTCTCTCTCTCTAAAATCTCTCTTTTAACCTATAGATATGGGAGTGCTTCTCAAATCTCCTTGCAACTTCTTCTTCCTAGACCCATGTGACTTTTTCCATCATAAGTTTGTTCTGCTCTAGAAATCACTCAATCAGAGATCTGACGCTGAAGAAGCAAACAACTCTGGTATTTGATTTGACCATTTATTTATTTTTCGTCAGCTGCAGAGCTTCTTGTGACAGATATATTGCTGTATATCTGGCAATTTTCATCTCTCTAGTACAAATCAGTTGTTTGATCCTTCGATTTCAACATATTAAGGTACCCTTTTCTTTTAATCTCTATTCTATATTGATTTTATTGGCTCTACATATGTATATATACACATACCCTATTACACGTTTGTGTGTGTGTGTGTATATATATATCTGGGTTTTGTAGTTCTTTAAATTTCTTGTGTATATTGGATTTGAAATGTTAAATGGCATGTGGATTTGGTTTTTTATTTTTTTAATCGATTTTGAACGTTATGCTATTCCAAATGTGTGCAATCAATGTGTTGGTAATCTTTTATGGGATTACAATTTACAATGTCCAATGTTAAGCATTCCCTTTATGTGTTCAAGTTATAGCCTTTAATGCAATGCCAGATCCAGAAATTGGGGTTTCATGATCTCATCTCTTCCATCATTTCTGTGTATTGATCAGCTTGAACCTTGAATTCAAGAATTATTCATTTCTATGGTGAGTTCATTTTATGATTTTTGACTTTATATTGTAATTAGATAGAAAATTTTAACTTTAAGGAAAAGAAATTTGAAAGAGAAGTACTAAATGTGGACCCAAATGCTTGCTTTTTTGTGATTCAGTCTGTTTTGGATTGTGATTATCAGGGAGAAGCTCCAGCTCTCTTTGTGGATAATCTGCAGAGGGATTTTTCTGATGGGTTTAATATAAGATCCAAAGGTTTACAGACGACAACAGTTTTCGGTGATAAAATAGTATGTTTATGGGACATGCTGATTTAATATTGTGTTGCAATTCATTTTGATTCTTAGTGATTAACCAAGAAATTGTGCACCCCGTTGAAAGTTTAGTGTGTGGCTTGAATCAGTATGTGATTGGTGGGACTGATGATGAATCAACATCAACAATTGGCATTCGAATTTTCAACAAATCTACCGGTGAATGGTGAGTTTTAATTATAGCTACAACATGAGCACCAATTGGGTTTCAAATTAGAACAGAGACTCATTAATTACTCGCTGAATTTGCAGGGTCATTCCCACTGTGTTGGGAAAAAGACCAAAGCCTTCTAAGGGCCACTCAGCTGTGCTTTTAAATGAAGACCGAATATTGATTCTTCGAGGGGATTCCACCCCTGATGATTCCGTTTGGTTTCTTGAGGTTTGTATTTTGATCAATGACAGTTTTAAAGATACTTTGTATTACATCATCATTATAGTGACATCACTTTTTATTTGTGTATGTATTTTGAGTAGCAGTTTAAGTGGTAAACCATACATTTAGCATATTATTTTGTGTTATATCATCATTATGGTCACATAATTTTTGTTTGTTTATATATTTTGGGTAGCATTTTAAGTGGTGGACCTCACATTAGCATATAATCAGGTTAAGAAGTCATTAAAAAATAATTACTATATTAAATATAGAAACGATATCAGTTCTTGGTAGGGACTCATTTCAAGTGGGTCAGGAACAACTTGAACTTAGTTTTAATAAATTAAAATGGCATAATACAATGAGTTCTATATGGTATTTGAGTGGCTTTAGATCCTGCAGTTCTAATTTGAATTTCAGTTGCCTATACACAAATTTTTTTTTTTTTTTTGAAGATTTGTTTTTCAATGTCTAGGTGGACACTAAATTTGTTAGAGAGAAGAGAACAGATTTTGGAACAGAGGTGGTTGCTTGGAGTAGGGGAGTTAATGGCGATGCTGAGAAGCCCATTGTTATCAGTGGTCCTTCTGGAGTGGGTAAGGGTACATTAATTTCCAAACTTATGGAGGAATTTCCATCAATGTTTGGATTCTCTGTGAGCCACACAACCCGTGCTCCAAGGGACAAGGAGAAGGATGGGGTCCATTACCATTTCACTCAGCGTACTGTTATGGAGAAAGATATAAAAGATGGGAAGTTCCTAGAGTTTGCTTCTGTTCATGGAAATCTTTATGGAACCAGTTTTGAGGCTGTTGAGTTGGTTGCAGATGCAGGAAAGGTATGCATCTTGCATTTTGTCTCTGTTCTTTGTGCTTTAAATTGAATAGTAAAATAGATCTGCCAAATGAGGCAATGTTCAGCTTTTCGCACTATCCAAGTCGATCTCCCATTTGATGAATCCAACTACTAATTCTTGAAGTTCGGTAAACAATCGAATGATTTTAAAAAATAAGTGTCTTTTGAAAAATGCAAAATCTAAAAAATGAAGAGGACTAGAATCAGTTGATAATTACAGGAATGGACCAACTGGTGTTTGGACCTATCTAGTACCACCCCACTAATACCACACAGCCCCCAGGAGAAAAAAAAAATGTGGATTAATAAATATGGAGGAGCATCTGGATTATTGATTGCTCTTTTGGATTTTGGTGTACTGTCAAGTGTGTTCCTTTGCACAAGGGAACAAGGCTAAACAGACTCGGGTATTGTTTGGAACCCCCAACAGTTGAGGGAATCAAAATTAGCATGTAATCATGGGCTTTCTAATACGAGTTTGTGGTATCAAAACTTACAAACGCTAGATTGAAATTGTTGCTATATAGGTTTTGGCCTATTAGAAGTGGTTTCTTTTGGATTGTGTATTGGATGGACTATGAAGTATCATATACTGGACAGTAAAATGAACCTAGTGTTCTCAATAAAAGTTGATAGATTTTGATTTCTGCATACTTGAAATGATTTATTTAATTTTGATGTAGAGATGCATCCTTGACATTGATGTTCAAGGTGCGAGGTCCGTGAGGGCTAGTCCTCTAGAAGCCATTTTCATCTTCATCTGCCCACCGTCATTTGAGGAGCTTGAGAAGCGCCTTCGTGCAAGGTTAACTAAAGATTGACATCTTAAACCATCTCAGTATTGCATTACCTTTCCATTGGTAAGTTCTTCAATTTTGTGAACAGGGGAACTGAGACAGAGGAACAAATCCAAAAACGACTTCGAAATGCTAAGGCAGAGCTCGAACAAGGACAATCACCAGGCCTCTTTGATCATATTCTTGTGAATGATGACCTCGAGTACTGTTACAAGAGTCTTAAGGTTGTTCTTGCATCTTCACAAAGCATCCGCCATTATGATCATTTTAGATTCTTTCATGTTCCTTGCAGTCACAATTCAACCTTTCAATGCTTGCTTATCTCATGACATCTCCCTTATGATGTAGGAACTTTTGGGTCTTGATAAAAGCATCGACATTACCCCTAAATCATGTAAGCAGTTTCTTGAGTAGACTATTCTTCTATATGTTTTATCATGCTTTGTTGAAATGGAAAATAACTAGAATTTCCAAATGTCAAATTTAGTGCCAGAAATGTTCATCCTGCCTTTGAACCATTCAATTTCAAAACTTGATCACAAAGTCTTCATAAACTGTGGAACAGCAGCAATAGAGAGAGCATCAAAAAGCATGTGAGTTCCTTATAGATTCATTTGGTAACAGTCGCTAAATGTTTACAATTTTGTATTCTCAAGTTATTCCAGTCAATCAAACAGGTTTGTGCTGGATGTGTCTTCACTCAAAGGAGGTGCACCAGGTCGGACACGGGGACTGTACATGTATGCCGTAAGCTCGATTGCAGATGTCTTAAACGGTATCAAACAACTAAGTCGCGAGTGATGGCTCCTCAGCCTCCTTACTACAGAGTACAGACTTGGTTAACATTTTTGAATCTCTTTTTTAAGTGGTCCTTCAAAAGCATTTCATTTTAGTTGTTATGCATTCTTTTTTTTTTTTTTTTTCAAGGAACAGAGATGATTTGGTGATATAGCATTTAAACAATTTCTTCCCATTACACAAGAAATGAGAGTGAATTTATCATTTTTGCGGCAAGTATAGATATTTAGATTTGAGTTTAATGTATGTTACACTTACCATAGTCGCTGAAGAAACAATGGAACCTGGCAGATTATCTGTATTGACAGGTAGTTGGATATGGTTTGATTTAAGTTTTCGGTTGAATCAATTTTTTGTGAAGGGACTGATATGCCGTGGCATGTGAGTTGGTTCGTTCGAGTCTATGCTTTACAGATTTTGAACATTCTGTTGGCAAAGCTTCTGAAAATGGCTACTTCTTATGATGGAACCAGTTGATTTTGACCACGGCATAAAAGTTGATGAATTAAAGAGTTTCCGTACATATTTTAAAAATAGTTTCTGAGGTGCATTCCAACGTAATGCATATGATACATAAATACTCTTCCCCGAATCAATTAAAATTCTTTTCCTAGTCAATTAAAAGGAAAGTAAATAAAAAAGAAAAAGAAAAAAGAAACCCAAACCTAAAAGGTAGTAGCGGTATAATAAACCCATGGACTTCTGCTAAAAGGCAGCAGCAAATCAAGTCCTGCTCGAGGAAGCCAAAACTGATGGCTTCGAGAAGAACATTGTCTGCTCTCCATTCTCACTCAACGCTTTGCTCAACACGGCCGTGAATAATTTGTTGGATCAGAAAAAGCCTGGAAGATCTCCATTCCAAGACTTCCACATTAATGGGACTCGCCAAATCTTCACGAAGTGTAGATGGCTCTGGAGGTCTTCTTCTATCTACTGTTAATGGGCTTCGGTGGATTGAATCAATTTTCATTGCCGCCTATAATATATGATATGTCAATCTGTAATCCATCCATCTATTACATTGAATTTTTATATAGGAGGAAGTGGGTAAGATGAAATTTATAGAACCGAAACAAAATAATACATAAAATTAATTTCAAGTACAAGTAATTTTCATCTATTTGTTCAAGGTTGAACAAAGAATATTTCATAATCATAAAAATTTATCTTACTGGAGTACTAATTTAGTTACCTTTATAATACCAGTACATATGAGTTTTCGTTGGAGCTCCTATAATGAAGTGACAAACGACAAAGCAACCATGTATGATCATCAGACACAGATCAAACCATCTTATGTAGGTCAAGTCAACACTTTATTCGATGAATTTTGCCAAAATGACACAAAGGAAATTTCCACATTTACTAGATATTGTGGACCTAAATCAATTTCCACAGAGTAAGAAATAAATAAAAATCCAAATCTCACAGCATAAACCACCAGGTCAGCCAAAAAAATGGTGAGAAACCAAAAACTAAAAAGGAGACATTTATGTTTTATCCAATGATGTTAGCTGGTCCTTGCATACTTTTGAGTTCATTTTTTTTTGGCACAATTGTCAGATTGTGCTCTAGTGAAGACGAAAATTTTCGAGCACTTGATCCGTCCCGGAGAGAAAATGAAAAAAGAAAATCGATCCTCACATGTCAAATCCATAATTACTTACAATTGTTGTTCAAATAATAAAGTAACACAGTACCCTCGGTACGAATCCATAAAATTTCATAATCACAAAACTTATCTACTAATTAATCAAAACTTCAATATATTACAAAGCACTCGATTTTCAATCTCTCAATTCACAATACTTGGAGAACGCTTCATTCTACAACTCACTTGTCTATATTAATTCTATATATGCACAAACGTATACTTCATGAGGCTTGATGACTTTACAACCCAGAACACTACACTTAAACACAGAGCTCAGCATTCGTCTTCCGCAAAATAGAGAATTTCACTTTGGGCTTTTCAAATTTTCTTCTCAAATTTCAAATCTGATACACAAAGATAAATAAATAAAAATTAAAAACCCATTTATACAGTAGTGCTTGCAAAACACATGTTAAAAATAGATAGAACGTTGACATTTAGAAGCCTGATTGTGTGAATAGCAACTATTGACATTGCAGTTGGATGTGGATACTCTATGCATGTTTTGTACTGGTAGTTCATTCACTTCTTCCTGAGCCGTGGAAGAATCAGCATTTGCAGACGGCGCTGATTCAAAATAGAATGAGCTGCTGGAACGCGAGGCAATACCAGAAGCACTGTCAACCTTATTTGTTTTGAGGAAACGGCCCCCAGTACCTCTGGCTCTTCTAAGGGCATGCAGGTGCCGGGATTCATGACGATAGGGCTATTAAACATGACAACAGAGACCACAAACAGGGAAAATAAAATCAGCATTCAAGAACAAAGAACAAACTAGCACAAGGATGCCCAGAATTGCAGAAAATATATAAACTAGCAATCTAAAAAAGGACCAATATATGTCCGAACAAAACATTAAATTTATTCGACCTTTGGATAGCATTTATAAGTCGAAGTTGCTTTTGGGGCAAAGGTTGTTTAGACCTCGACTCCCAATTAAGGTAAGTGCTTCCACAAGGCTAATCAAAGATTATGTCATTGCTACAGAATGTTATCTGAACAAATACATCTGACAGCAAATTTAATATAACATTATTTTCAAATTTAATGAACAAATACTTTCAGTTTCTAACAACACATTCCAGATTCTTTACTCCAGAATCCAGATAAAGACACGCACTAGTATTATATGAAAACCCCATGTTCATAGAAATGATAAATTGAAGCATGCCAATCTTCTTTCGGCATCACTTTATAGACAGATTATCCACTCCCTTCAATTTTAAAATATTTTATTTTGAAGCATGCACATTTTGATAACATTTTCTAATTTATTTCCAGTTTTAGGAGTAAAACTGAATCACAGTGAACGTTGTCAGTAAAGATTTTTGCTTTGCAAATACCACCACCATCAAGCCTTTTTCCTTTGGGATCGGCTACATGAATCCCATGTTTCCATTCCGCTCTATTTAAGGCCAATCCACATGCTATCATATCTTTCTTTACTAACTCTACCCACGTTTTTTTTACCAACTCTACCCACATTAACTTTGGTATTCCTCTTTCCCTAATATTACCCTCAATGTGAACCATGTCACTTTTCCTAACTGGCGCACTTAAAGGTCTTCTTTGCACATGTCCAAACCATCTTAACCGATTTTCTCTCATTTTATCTCCAATTGGTGATTCTCCAACCATGTCCCGAATGTGATCATCTCTTTTTTTTTTTTTTTTTTTTACCACACATCCATCTCAACATTTGCATTTCTACCACACTCACACTTCATACAAATGTTGTTTCCTAGCCACCCAACATTAGGTGCCATAAAAGTATGGCTGGTCTAATAGCTATTCAATAGATCTCCCCTTTCGATTGTAAGGGGATACGCCTATCACACAAATTACTAGATGTACTCCGCCATTTAACCCATCTTGCCTTGATTCTATGGTTAACATCATCTCCAATTTATGAATAAATTGAGCCCAAGTAACAAAAAATTTCACTTTTTTGTACCTCTTGATTCTCAATCCTCACTACATCATTTGTCTTTTTAGTTTTAATAAATTTACCCTCCACATATTCAGTTTTAATTCGACTTATCTTAAGCCCTTTTAGTTCTAGAGCTTCTCTCCAAACCTCCAATTGGCATTAACTCCTCTAGTCTAATCAACTAAAACAATATAATCAGCAAATAACATAATGCTGCATAAATAGTTGATAAGAAAAATCCGCAATAAACACATAGGTATAAGTGAGTAAGTCATTGAGTGTCATGAAAAGATAAACAAGAGATGCCAGCACACGAACACATGCATGGTCATACAGACATAATGCATGCAGACACACAATTAACCTTTCGAACAACTTGCTTCTGTTCCAACTCAGCCTTGGCACGTGATTGTCTACGCCTCAGAATCCCATGGTACTGTTTGGCATTTACATACACAGGTTCCTCCGTCAATTCAATGGGCAAAGCCATTCTAGAATGATGCTCTCCAGATAGATGAGAAGGTACCTAACACAACATTCGACTAGTGTTAGACAACTCAAGTGATTTCTGAATACATTCTTCAAGTAAATATAGCTAATGAGGAATTCAAGATTCACTAAAGCCCACCCTGCATGAAACACATTTACAGCCACCGACAATATGAAATCTTTTTCACGTAATAGTTAACTTTATTTACAGTGATACACGTTTCCACTTTAAAAATGGAAACAGAAAAAGAAACTACAACTCAATATTCACATAATATTAATACTCATCAGTAGCTAGTACCAGCAATATACTATTTTTATTTCTAAAATCAGATATATTACACCCTAGTCCACTCTAAATTCTAATCGATTTCAGATTGTAAATTAATTTCCATGAAATTCTCATAAAAATATCCTTATTTCTTCTTTTATTTGGTAAAATGGCATTACCAAGGACTGTAGATAGTTGGATTTTGTCTACCTCGTATACTGGATGGCTGAAGTTTCCGGAACCCACATGTGCGTGTTTTGGGTGCTTGGGGGGGGGGGGGGGGGGGGGGGGTGTGGTGGTGGTGTGGAGGTAGCATCTCAATTTGTCAAGATCTTAGCTTCTATAGCAACCCATTAATTGGAGTGAGAACTGCTAAAAACCTTTGCTGAGAATATGAGTTTTCTTGAGCTGGAGGAGGTGTACTAGAAACAATGATGGGATCCAAGGTCTATGAGGTTGAGAGGAGTGAGGAGCAACCAACATAGGCCAGGAGGAAGCAACAACATGAAATTATTGAGTTAATCTAAAAACCCAAGGACTTGGGTTTTTCAATCCCCAAATTAAGCCACATTGATCTTCAAGTAAAGGCATGAACACATGGACTGAGTGCAGGAAAAATGCCAATCCTTGGGATAATTTGATGGGCCTGGTGGCAGGATCTGTGACCCACCCAAAAGCCAACAAGAGTAAGGATCTAAATTTCAGAAAAATCTGCAATGCAGCTTACATGTTAGGTGATAGCTGTATTAATGGGAAACAAAGATTCCTCTCCGAAACCTTCACTGCAGAAAGCCTCTGCTCCAGCCAAACTCCATGACCTTTCAAGCCATTGCGATAACCTATATTGCAATGGGATGTGGCTGGTTCAGTGGAAGTATGCATGTGACATTACACAGGCATCCACCAAGATGGAGGAGCTTAAAGCTGCCTCCCAAGAGACCTTGATGAAGGCGGAGACACTGCCACTAAACTTCCATAATAGCCATGCAATAACTAATGAACAACCTACTAATTAACGCAACTAAAAAAAATTAACACTTATCATATCCTTTCTAACAATTTTACTACTCAATGCAACTCAAAATAAACTACAACTATCGTATCCTTCCTAACTAAGTCAATCCATGATAGTGAACAACCTATGTGGCATCAGCCATGTCCTAATTGGGAACAAGGAAAATATCAGTTACTTTAACAATCATGTTTCTCATTAACTTGTAGCTCTATTCTAGTGGTAAGCAGACATAAAAAAGTAATGTCATTGTAAGTTGCACTTGTATTTCCACAATATATGATGCATCACTAATTCAATTCATATATGCAAAAGAGAATAGTGATAGCATACCAAAGCCTGAGGACCTAAAGCAGGCAAAACGCTCCCACAATATGGATTTGAAGATGGATATGATCCGCAAACCTGTGACCATAATTAACCACTCAAAATCAATCCTTATTTCGATAAAGCCAAAAATAAAACAATAACTCTAATTTCAGAATTTTTTAAAAAGACCAGATCTTCACATTTACAGCAACACCGCTATTAGATTAGGAGGAGACCGTGCTTCGCGCACAGTGTTTTGACTGCACGAGGGTATATCATTGAGAGAGAGAGGGAGGGAGGGAGGGAGGGAGGGAGGGAGGGAGGGCACTTACAATGGAGTGGCCAACAAGTTCCATTTGTGTGGGGGGTGTGAGATACTCGCCTATTGTCTGTGGCATTATGGCTACTGCATGCTGGCTTTCCTGCCCACAATTTCCATCTGACCATGAAAGGAATATCTTTCTCAGTATCAGTATATCCAACACAAATCTTTACATGATTTTTGCCGGGACGTGATTTCCAACTTATGTTTTGCTAAAAATTCATCAATACCATTAATGTGACACAATAGGTACATGACATTAAACAGGAGGGAGAGAGAACAAAAAATGAAGTCCTTGGGATAATACAAAGTACTTAACGCTGGAAAATTACCCACTAGGATCGCACCATGTGGCTCGAGCATTTACCATCATGTGACATCGGAGAATGGTCTACGTGATGTAGCAATAGTCATGATTAACAGCAAAAACATGACAGGTTCAAGCAAACAAGAGAATAGATCATGAATTGAAAGAGAAGCACACAAAGTAATGTAATCTTTAAGTGTACAAGAATACAATAGAGTTGTATTGCCACTTCAACCTTTTACAATGCAATGTAGAAATAGGGATACGGTGACCAAATTTTAACTTCTCAAGCTCTTTGCAATAATTATCACATCGTTTCAAACATATCTATATACCCAAGCCTTGTTAGGCAACCTAATTCTCTTTGGCACCTTCAAATCATGTAAAAATTACACCACAAATAGATGAATTTCAGTTTGGGAAAAATTACTTGAGATAAGCTTTGCCTTCTTTTAGCCAAGTGAAAAAGCTCTCACTGTCGGCCATTTCATCAATATATATAGTCCAAATGGGAGTAGGAATGGTTCAATTAAGGCATATATGCATCGAGAAGTTGGTATCCTTGTCATTGAGGTATGGGTTCTGAGGATTTGCAATCTAGATTGGTCCCAAGATAACAAGAGAGTAGAGACATCATCTAAGGCTTTGTTTATGATAAATAAATATCAGTCCATAACCACAGTCAAATCACAGAAATTGGCTCAATTAGAAGGTAACATATATCAGTTGTTTCTAAACCTCATTTTCCTACAAGAAGCATTATAAGATTAAGAATGGCACAAAGTAAGTGGATCCAGGAATACACCTTCCATGCCATCATGCATATGAGGAAAGAAACAATAATACAGACATTAATAAAAATCTTATGATGCGGCCAGCCCTAGAAAGCATTTCTGCAGGACAAGTTTTATATAATTGAGGTACCTGAATTCGGCAATATAGTAGTTTGCATCACTCTATGTGTGTCATATCTCTTTCCCTTTACACCATTATCTTGTAATGCACAAGCTGGATTCTGTCGACCACCATTTGGGTGCTTTGGAGAAGATAAATATGATGTGCCTTCCCCTAAAACATTTGCTGAGATAGCATCACGTCTAATACTGCACCGCCAAGCTTGAGAACCGGTTGTGTATTGTTGACTGTTGTTTGTATTGGAGTCTAATAGATTTGTACTTTCTGATTTTTGGTGCATACTTCCTGATCTATCTTCAAAATATACGTTCGAGGTCTGCTTCCGAGCTATCCAAACAAATATGTTCCATGTAAGTTTGTACAATACCCAAAAATTACATGATATGACATCATCAAATAAATGGGCTTAACATGCACATGCATGGATAAATATAACAGTATAATAGAGATGTCAAGAAATTTAAAGATCTTCGATATTTGGTAGACTCAGACTTACAATAGAAACAAAAGGCATCCCTTTACCAAATTCCTAAGAAAAAATCTGTTTTAGAAACCAACTAGGATGAATTCATTGTTTTTAAAATAAAATAAAATAAAATTTATCTAAGAGATCTATTAGATTTTTCTTTTCCCTGTTGGGACATTCCTTTAATCTTGAATGGCCTTATCAACATTCTACATATAATTTCAGTGCAAATTATGTCACCTTGAGTGGAGCAATTCAAGGAAATGGCAGCCATCTCAAAATCATGTAAAAGAAAATTTGAATTTCATCTTCTCACGAATTTAAAATAATTATATGAAATAAACTATGGTGAAAATCCTTATTTTCCAAAATTGAACCATACTAGATGATGAAATTTTACTTCAAATGCCATTAAAAATGCAACCAGACCATTCAAATTAAAAATGAAATCCAAACACACTCGTACCTACTCTCTCAATAATATTATATATACTATCACATTGCATTTGGCAGCACAAAATCTATACTTTGGAATTGTGGACCATGATAATTCAAATTTTAAGTTAATTGTCCACCAGTTTGAATTCCGAAGCATGGTTTCCTCGTTGCCAAACACATCATCATAAAATATTGTCAATCAACATAAACATATCAAGAATATAATCCAATCGATTTTGAATAATAATTACCATTTTCCATGCATAGAAATCGTCCAAAACATATATAATTATAATCACCACCAATGATCACATGATTATTCACAAGAAAATTTTCTTAAACGTCAACCTACAACGGTCTTAATTTGATGTCCAGGAGAATTTAGGCATAAGAGAAAGTTCAACTGACTGTTTGGTTGCCGAGAAAGGAAATGAAAAAAAGAAGTTAGCGTTGTTTTTCTTTACAAACAAACTTGAGGTAACATATTAACTTGTAATGTTAAGGTCAGTAGAGCAGAGTCTTATTATTATTATTATTTTTTTTTTAAACTTTTTTCAAAAATTCAAATTTCCCTTCATACTATGTATTCCAATCAACCAAAACAAACATAAAATGATAAAAGAAGGAAAATTCCAAAAATTTAACAAACTATCACTAATATAAAAATGGAAAATATAATAAGTGGAATTTAGTCGGAAATTAAAGTGGGTATTTACCGTGAATAGAACTTACTTTAGTTGCAGTTGAGAATCAGGAGAGTGAAAGGACCATGAAATTCTCTAGTGGATATTCTCCTTCTAGCAGATATGGATATCTATAGGAGTTTATCCTCTCTTTGATGTTGTTTCTTACCTGTTGTTTGTTTGCCAGGAAAAAAAAAAGAAAAAAGAAAAAAAAAGAAAGAGTAGTAGGAGTAGAAGACGATAGAGAGAGAAACGGAAAATTCAGGATTAATAAATTAAACAAAACAAATCTGGTTTCTGAATACTCAATCAAATTTGTGTCCTAGTCTCTCTCTCTCTCTCCTCTCTCTATCCAATGACGCCATTGTCCCCCATAATTCCAAAACGACGGAAATAGCCCTGCACGGGCAGGGATCAAATTATTAGTTTAAAAAATAAATTTCATAAATTAAATATATATGGTAATATTTTTGTATTAATTAGATGCTTTGGATAAGTTAGTAAATATATTTTACGGAAAGTGATCTAAGTACATTATGTAGATTATTTTTATAAATTACGAAGTTCTTGTGAAAAAAAATAATAATAGAGATAAGGGTTTTTTTTTTTTTAAAAAATTGAACTAATCTTTAAAATCACTATAAATTCTTAATTTATAATCACTTTAAAATGCTATCTACATGTGTTTATAATCTCAAAAATATTATTGTCAAATTATTATAAACCTAAAATTTTTATATAAAATATAAACAAACGAAGTTATCACGCGAGTTTATCCAGCTGTGATGAGTCATGTCCCATAAAATTTCTCATCTAATTAGGTTTTTCAAAATTGACTTGGTCCAATGTAGGTGTCAAATCTAAGCAAATGGAGGGGTAAATTTGTCCAAAAGGATTATTTAAGAGGTTGAAATGAATCTACTAATGATGATGGAGTGCCTTATATAATTAAATCTACGACCACAAGGACAATTACGGGTCCCACATTAGATCATCTGCAACGTGGCATAAGGCAACGATAGTTTGGTGATTTAACGGCGAGATAACAGTCCTCTTGTCGTGGGGTAGGTGGCAAAGGAAACTCCCTTCCGGTAACAACACGACAACCCGCGGATCGCGTTCAATATTACACGTGTCTCGAGGCGTGTCTTATTTTGGTCAACTGAGCCGCCACAAGGGCCACTTAGATGTTGCCACGTGGATGCGAAATAACCTTCCTGGAAAAACCTAACACAACAGGAGGATAGTGTTGCTCCTTCCACTTGAGAGATTGCATCATAAAAAGTGACATTTTTTTATATTTCTTTTTAGAGTGGTTCAAAATAATTGTCTCAGGTACGATTTTTTAATTTTTTTTTAATTAATTTTTTAATTATTTTGAAATTCTAAAAACATGTGAGGCATCCATGCTTAGAAATTCATTCTTTTATCATTATAATAAATAAAAAAAAAATATTAAAAATTACATTCTTAAAAAGTTAGATTCTAAAAAATAAATAGACAAGAAGGATCATAATATTAAGAAAAATAGTAAATATTTATTAATTCAAAATATAATATAATTGATACTCTCAACGTATCTAAATTTTTTTCTAAGATGGATCAGTCCTTCATGCGCCCCTTCCTGTATTTTGTCAGGCGTGTTTTAACATATTCTAAGAATAAAAGGTATATTATTATGTTTAGAATTTACCACTTATTGCTTGAAGTATGTAGAGCAATCTTTGCTTCAAGCATGCAACTTTAATAACTCCTTTGGTCACATATTACTAGTTGATATATATGTATATGTATATATATATATTTCTAGTTATACTCACATATCTCTCTTTAAGAAATGATTTACACCTAAATCGAACCTTATACCAAATGCTTCATGGGACTTCAAGCCAAATTTCTACCTACTTGAGCAACCCGTTTGGATTTATAGTCCATCTTTCTTTTTTAAAGATGTTCCAAATTATTTTGTCCAATTATAAAAGTTAAACTAAAATTAATGCTATATTTCCATCATTATCTTTTAAGTTTAAAAAATCTTTCAGGATATAAACATTTAAACTTAAAAATGATAAGTTAGTAATTTTTAAAAGAATAATGTATTAATATACCTCCTTAAAATAAATGTTGTATGTTGAATATATTCATACCATCTTATTTAATTACTAATACTTGTCATTTATAATTTCTATTCACTCATAGATGGAATAAAGATCACTTAGGAGTTTGATTATTCAATTCAGTGCTTAAATCTGAATGGATTAAGTGTTTATCCAATTAAGTGTATTTAATAACGAAATTTAAACGTCATTTAAAATGAGGTAAAATTTTAAGTGATTGGGACATTACTTATCGCTGAATGATGTACCTTTAAAATTTTAAAAAATATCAAAAAATATTTATTCTTTAATTACCACTTAAAAACTTCAATATTTAAAATTGAGTCTTTAAAATTGTCAATACTTAACTTTTAATTTTATCAAATAGCACTTTACATTTATACAAATAGATCTTGTGCTGTAAAAGAGGTACAGTTAGGTTATTTGAAACGGTTGGACTGTCAAATTTTTAATTAAAAAAAAAAAAAAAATTAACTGAAACTTCAAACAATACTTGCACACATGCTCGTAATACTATCCCGTTCATATGGACTAATAATGCTCATTTATGTGGTGCATGGATTGTTCATTGTTGTATTGTCAGTATTGTGTCATATTTGCATACTTTGTGATAAAACTACATGTAAATCTTTTTACCGGAGATCAACGTGATTTCACCCGCCGACATCAATATTGTTTTTATTGGGAAAATAAAATTCACGAGAATTGTACAGCTATATATCCTAATTAATTAATTACTCGATCCGTATAATACCATCACCAGCCGCACGAGTCTTCCATTGGATTCTCTTTAATTTTCTCTGCTGCAATTTTTCTGACAAACCAAACACCCATAATGATCTCGCCCACAACATTCAAACTATATATTATAATTTCTTTGGTACCTGGAATCTTAATTAGTACTCCCTCCTTCAATTCATGCATACGTGTATGGACCGGTTATGTAGCTATTCAAAAATTCTCTAAGTACTTAAAATAGAACATACATAGCATAAAATAATAATAATAATAAAATAAAAATAACTGCACTTATCTTGTTCGTGTATGTATAAAAGTTAAAACACACATAAATAAAATACAGTGAAGGGTTGTGAGGTGCGATCAAGAAACTGATCACAAAAATAGAGATTATATTCATTTACATATATTATTAGTTAGTTTCAATCTCATGTTGCACTAAAGAAACTATAAGAATTGGACCAACTTATTTGACAATATTTTAAGGGAAAATAAAAAAGATTTATTACTCACTGACAGTACTATCTTGTCTGCACAGTAAATTAGGAATAATTGAAAATAGTTATAATACAGTATTTGACTTTGTTTTTATTTATTTATTTGTTTTTTTGGCACAAAATGAATTATGTGAGTTAGAAAGCTTCTTGTTAATTATATGGGCACAGTAAAATTGTCCTTACCCAAAAAAAAATTATAATCAATTCAATTGAGGGCAGGAGTTTCTTTCTTTTTCTTTTTTTTTCTTTTTTTTTTTTCTTTTTTTTTTTTTTACTTTTTCGGTGAGTACGTTTTTGAGGGCAGGAGTTGGAAAAGGTTACACTTGCAAGATAGAATTGTGAAGTGTTTATTTGATACAACGAAGAGCATGCACAAGAAAAAGGAACTTTTTTAGATTTAAAAAATGTACTAGTTTGGGTGAGGCTTCATATATATATATTTCAATAATTTGTTTTTTTTAAAAAAAAAAAAAACCTACAATATTCTCCAAGAAATTTGAATTTTTTTACCTTCCTGTTTTAAAGAAGATACCACCGGTACGGTATTAGTGCTCCTGAATGGGTTGAGCTATTTTAAAAGACACACACACTCACACACACACACATATATATATAATTACAACAATTAATCAAACAAATTAAATAAACAGCTATAACTACAACCATGATTGATTCCATAATTGATACATTCTGTTCAACAGTATTTACACAGGTTTCAGATTACAAATTCATCAAGAAATTAAGGTTAAGGTAATAATAATAATAAATATTAAATAAAACTATATATATATATATATATATATCTATAGATCAGTTAGGCTATTCTCATGAGACATGGATGATTAAAATTAGCATAATGTCATCTAAAAATCCACCATACATAATAAGAAGAAGTACAATTTCTGTACTTTAACACAGATTAATAATATACTGGCCTGCAGACATATAACCCGGCCAAAACTGAAAAAAGAAAAGGCAGAAATGGCAACCTAGGATCAAACATCAGAATTAATCATGAACTTCCCAAGATCAACATATATATAAAATTCTAAAAAAAAAGGTTACCATGCGCAAACGAAACCAAGTGGGTGGTTGCTTGAAATTAATTAGAAAGATGAATAATTAAGCAATTAAGCAAGCTCATATATTATTAAGTGCAAATAAGAAGAAAAGGTCTATATCCGGAGGAGCATAGAAGGCAACAGGAGATGATGTTGGCAATGACAAGTTTGAAGTAATGACGTATCTTGGCTTCTTGGGGGCGGGTGGACACGACAAGTTGTTGGGTATTCTGTATCTTTTACCCTTAGGTGTACAACAGCTGCCTGCAGACCTTATATCCACACCATTCTCGTCTTCTTCGCTTGAAGTACTACTGCTATTGCAAACACCAGTACTGGACAACTCCATTGAAGGTTCCTGAATTTCTTTGGATTTGGAAGTCCCAATACAATGCTGTTTCCTTAGGGTTTTTCTTGTAGGATATGGTGCCATTTGAGAGGTAGCTAGCTAGATAGATATATGGTATGAATCTAATTCTGTTCTACTACTACCTAGCTAGTAATGTTATATATTTATAGCCAAAACAAGAAATAGTTGAAAGGTTCCAAAAAGTGTACTTATGTAAGCACCGACACTACATGAAAAAAAACTAGTTACTACTTTTTAAGTTGTAAAGGATTCTAAGACCACCCACCACCCATGCCATTTGCATTATATACTTTGATCCAACGAGACCACAGAGGGTGACAACCACTACACTAAAAGATAAAACTCTTTTTCAAGACACTACCAAATCTCGATAAGATCAATACCCCTTTTTCCACACCTGTCTTAGAAACCTTTATATGTTACAAAAACATATAGTATCTAATTTAGACTGAGAACCAACCGTTAAAAAAAAACAAAACAAACAAAGAAAAAAAAAAACAAAACAAACAAACAAACATGGACGAGAATTTTTAAAGGTGAATTATAGTTTGTTAAATGCGCACGCAATTAAAAAAAGCTGAAGAGAGAATTCATGTGATCCATCTCATTTATATAGGATCAAGCATGAAGGAGGATATTAATGACGTGCATAGAGTCCATCAACAACAAGGAGTAAAGCACATTCTCCCTTCCCTCTAAGGATATTGAGAGAGGATCGTCTCCTAGATGTGACATGTGTCTTTTGTAAAATAAAAAAAAATAAAATAAAATAAAAATAAAAATAAGAGAGGGAGAGAGAAAATTTGGACTTGTTTAGTTTGTCTACTCAAAAAATTATTTTCAAAAACTCAAAAAAAAAAAAATTATTTCCAAAATACTATAAAATACAATTATCTACAATATGCTTTTTATTTTTTTTAATTGAACTTTCAAAAAACAATTTCACAAAAAAATAAAAAATTATTTTCAAAAAAATGAACTAAGATTGTCCCTTCATTTTTATTTCGATCAAACTGATCTTAAATTCCTCAACCCCAGTTGAACATGCTACAATTATATCATGACATGTGGATTGGTTGTGACAAGATTGTTCTTTAGTTTATTGAGTGTGGACCTTGGTTTTGTTGAGCAACCAGTCACAGCACACCACGTCAAAAAGAAAACAATTTGGATCATGAAATATGGAGTAGGAGAATCCAAAAAATTCATAGTTTTGGGCTGAATCAGCACTAATCTTTAGAAATTGAAATTAAAGTCCCAACTAGACCGACCTATGTTCGGATTGGGCTTGGGTTATATATATATGTCATTGGGATACCTAACCCAACTGGAGGTGTGATTCACTTTGTAATCATATTAATTTGCTGATATCCATAAATAATTAATTATCTTATATTAGTCACAATTAACTTGATATGCAATCTTATCATATTACCAACTATTTAACTCTGAAAAACAATGATTAACGTCAAACTATTAACTACTTATATGATCTAGTAATATGGAAGAATGGTTTAACTTTGGTCGTGTATTGTCTCCAATACCAAAATGAATAAAATTAAGTATGTGGCCCACAATCTAGCCCAAGTTTGTTGTAATTTTGTATTACGTATTTATTATTATTTTTTATATATAATGTAGAATTAGCTCACAAGCTATAGGCTTTGGATTCTCACGTAATTTGCAACCTCTGTATATTTTATTAAAAACGTATAATTTTCTGTTTAACATGGGTAAAAGAAAATTGTTAAATGTTCGAGTGGCATGAACTAAGTCACACAATTCTTTTAAACGGATGTCGTTTTCATACTTTGTTCGTGCTTTCACTCCCCAATTTGTGTAATTTAAATTTTGCAACTTTCAGACGCACACTCTCGCTCCCACTCTATATGACTTAGAACATGAATTATTATTTTGTCTGAGTGAGTGAGTGAGTGAGTTTAGAAATAGTCCCCGTGTATTTCAATCTGTATAGCATCATAATTCTAAATAAACGACCACTTAACGCATGGGCCATGGCCCAGCCTAATTTTTGGTCTCATAAGCAAGCTGGATTTTCAAATCTAATTGAGCCCATTGATATATATATATATATATATATATATATATATATATATATGTCGACCCAAGAAAATTGCTTTCTATTGGGGGGTCATTATTTATTTGTCTTGTAAACTCCGAAAATTAAATAGCTGAAATATCAATCACAGAACAAACTATTTTAGAAAAGATCGTATCTATGATTTATCAAGGCCCATACATATGGTACGGAAATAGATCGAAAAAGTACTTGCAGCAGGTGAAAATATAATTTCAAAATCTATCTATTACACCACATCGCTCTGTGTGTGTGTGTATATAACTATATATATATAGATATGTACAGTATAAATATTCAATTCTACTTGGAAATATCTAAAATGGACCAACAGCCTCTCTTTTTTTCGGGTAAATTAAATGGACCAACAGTTATGTGCATGTTTTATTGTTATTTTTAATATATATATATATATATATATATATATATATATATATATATAAACAGTTATATAACTTATATCCAAAGCTGAATTAAAATTTTGGAATTTTAAGACTTAACAATACTAATTAAGTAATTTTCTAAACTTTTATTTAATTTATACTTAATTAGATGTCAAGAGACTCCTCCAATACATCCATGACATGCCCATGCATCCTGAAAAGAGACCATGATGAATGGACGGCTGAGATTACTCCATCTGGGTTTAGTGATGACCTCGTACCTGACTTGGTATGGGACAAATACATGTACCTGATCTAGTGGGGCCCAATATAAATGCCACATAGAGCTTTCTTCATACACACCACTGAATCTAGTACTAGTGATTTTCTTGAGACTCCACCAACAGAACATGAAACTGATTGAAGCCACCCAATCACTGAGGTCTTGACAAGTGTCCTTTGATGGGATGGTAGGACCCATTTTGGTACCCATGAAAGAGAGCAAATTGAAGTGGACGTAAATGCCAAATTCACAAAACAAAAAGAATGAGGTTAAAATTCCACATTTACCACCAAAGAATATAGCTTTATTTATTTATTTATAGCTCAATTCAGAGAATATTTTGAGCGAATTCAATATTTATTTAATTTAAGTGTATTTGAAAAACAAATAAAAATTTAGATAAATTCTCCTTAAGCAAATAAACATTATGAGATTTTATATTAATTCCTATTAAATGTAAACAAATAAATTCATAAAGTCCCGTCAAGTGAGTTTTAAACCTTATATGTCTTTGATTATCAATTGTAGAGGCACTTTAAGACGCGACGCGAATGCAATAATGTGATTCTCAATTAATACAATCATGTTGTATAAATATGTAATTTATTTACTACGTAAATATTTAAATACTTGTAAATGATCATTGTGAAGCTTGAATTCCTCACTTTCTTTTTGAGAGAGAAGAGTTTAGTGACATGTGATAATATAATGTTCATAATAAAAGTTTTTGATGTTTCTGAAAAGTGTTTATTTGAAATTTTTTGTTACAAATTGTAAACTTTAATAATTCGTGTCAAGCCATTAATCACAAATAAACATGAATCTGAAAATCTTAGAACTTCATTATCTTCACATTGCTATAATGTATAAATAAAATAGTTAGATATAAATATTTCGATCTATAATTGCAAATCTTATTGAGATCAAGCCATACATCAAGATTCTTTTTGCGGAACGAATAACGTGATAAACTGCAAGTATAAACGATAGCTAAAGCGTACATAAACATCAAGATCCTCTTTTGGCCTTTTGCACACATAAACATTATACGTGTTGTTTTCATTAACGTACATAACTGATGGAAATATGCACTTTTATAAAGGTAGAGAGATGATCAGTTTTCCTTTTAGTAACTTTAATTCTACTTTCCATCAAAGTAAGGAATAAATAGAAAAACACTTCTCCAATAATTAATTACCAAAAATGTAATTTAGAAGTTGACCAAATAATATAATATTAATTTAATATCTATTTTATTTAACCACCAAATAATAGAAGTAAATCACTTGTCCAAATAGTTATTAGTAAAATAATCATTAGTTTGCACCATAAATCAGATTGACTGATTAAGTTGGTCATTATAAATACCATGGTAAATAAACTACCAATGTGAGTCATGGCGGTTATATGTCCCTAAATAACACAGTTCATTCCATTTATTACAACACTAGTAACCTACTTAACATAGTTTATAAATAAGAAATATTAATAATGATTTAACAGTAATATCTTTTCCAAAACTATTCCTATTATCATTTATTAAAGCAATACATACATGTACATTAATTAATAGGAAATATTATAAACACATTTAATCAGTGCAAAATGTCAAATATATATAAGCACTGTTAAACAATCCACAATTAAAAAATAATCATCATTGACTGCATTTAAGACCCATTCTTTCAACATGTTCCATAAATGTCTTAGGTGGTAGTCTATTCTTTAATGAATTGCAATCATAAGTTGTGTGTTTATATGTTCAATAGACATTCGTTGTTTCTAAATATCTTCTTTAATGATAAAGTATTTCAACTTTAGAATACTTATCGTTTTTCATACAAGAAGATCAACAATTGCAGTATAAATTTTTAGTAATCTGAAAATGGTACCCATAACTCCAAGTCCTGAAATAAATTCCGCAACTATAGTTTGTAGCTGTTGATGCAAAAATTCGCACAATCCGGAGCCAATGCTATTCCTGCAAGATAAGAGAAGTGATGACCGGCGTGGTACCAACTGGGTGCACTCCGACGATCAAGTTAGTACTTAACGATTGAACATATCAAAAAGGATTTTCTCCAGGATAGGATGTATGGCCTACCTTTTTATGTTGACTGGCCTCACTTTTATAGAAATTTGAAGTTATCGTTTCCGCATTTCCTTCCGGGAGAGAAGGGATTAGTTAATGTATCTTTAGTGCAACATTTGAATTAATCAAATCTTATCATTTAATTACCTTATGAGATGGTCACCTTATTTTCTTAAGTTTATCCATGCCCTTTGAGTCTCCATGTCA